GTTGTAATGCTCGTATCCAATTACGTACTTCTGGAGAAATCGATGTTTTTTCCCAGTTCATTCTTTCTACGTAGTTATTCACCGTTTTAATTAGTTGACCTTGATTACGAGCGAAATTGATAGATGTATTAAGATTACTAGATGGAGCTACACTAAAATGATCATGGTTTTTGTTATGTCGATATATTTTGAAATGATTTTCATTAAGTCTGTCCCGACATTTGAAACCTGGTATTTTGCATAAGAAACGAATATCTCGTATATCATGATGAGTATAGGATTCTAAATGATCTTCTTGAGTAAGTTTTAAACATTTATTACCATCAGGACATAGTCGACGAGCAATATGAATTGATATTTCCAAATGGTTTTCTTCTTTAGTTTTGCAATCACGACCGTATGGACAAATATGTGAATATTCAAGACAATGATCTTCTATTTCGGTCGATACTATTGAATTTTTCGATTGAACAAATTCGATATACTTTGAACAGTTGTATGGTGTTAATGGACATGGCGGACGAAATGAATGTATTGTAGTATCAAAATGTGCTTTATTATGAATATTAGCACAACAATTATCATAAGGACAAACAGACTTGCAATGACGAAAAGATTTTAAATGTTCCTGATCTCGTCTTCGATATTTTGAGCATTTAGAACCATCTGAACAGTTAGGTAGATGGCGATAAGCCACTAAATGTTTTTGACTAATATTTGTACAACCACCGCCTTGTATACAAAATTCTGGATGATCAAAATCTAATAGATGTATTGGATCAATATCATTACATTCACCACCGAATTTGCATTTAATATTATGTATAAAATTAAATGTATGAACATCATCATCCAACCGTTCACAAGAAGAAGTTGCATTTAAGAGTGGACACATGGGTGGATGTGAAAACTGAGCCGCATGTTCAGGTTTTCGATAATCACGACACTTACTACTATGCTGGCACGGTGGTAGATCTAAAATACAAACATCACCTAATGTTAACTGACCATCAGTTGATTTATCAAGAACGCGGTTTGGCCCAATGGCTGCATTGATACGTAAAATTGTGGGTGATGGTACCATTAAACCATCGAGTAATTCTTGAAATGGAAGGAAATTTCCTTGTGGATTAATTTTATTGCCTGTATTATGATCATCAACAATCGCAAAATAAATCGTATTGAAAAAGCCTGCATATTGTAAGATAACAGATTTAAAAATAGCAGCAATATGACCAGGTGGATTTTTAAAAGCACCACAACCAAGAGCCGATAAAACAAGACAATCATGTTTATGATGATGTGCAATTGCAAAGATGTTTTCAATCTTTTTTCTTGTTCGAACAGCAAATTTATTTTCTAATGTTCTATTATTTTTTAATTTAGGATCTTTATAAGCAGCCATGGCAATAGCACAAACATTGTACAATGGAGTTTTCATGTATGCATAGCCATTAGATTCTGTTTGTCGAAATACTGTAATACCCTTTGTGTAAATTGCTCCAAAATCATCCATTGGATATAAACTATCGTTTTTTGATATTTGCTTCTGTTCACATTTATCATTGCAATGCATTCGTTCTGATCGATCCTTATCGGCTATTTCTACATCGAGACTTTGATAATAATTTGATCGACGAAAAAGATTTTCTTCCTGTGCTCCATCACCTTTTCGATAACCACCTCCAGGATTAGCTTGATTGGCCATATTTAATAATAAAGGTCGACGTCCTTCTGAAACTAGTTTCTGATATAGAGTAAGACAATCTTCGTTAACTACTTTGACAGATGTCGATGCATATGGTGTTTTGATATTACTAACTGAAGTTTTCGTGCCATATGATAGCTTTGATTTATGATCATAGACGATGCTGTGTAAAAGGTCAGGTTTTAATATAACTTCTTCATGATTGACCATATAACGTTGTTTTCTTAGAGTGCCTATTGTATTCAACATGACTGTCACTCGTAACAAATGTCGATGAAGATCATAACCTTTCGAACGTTGTTCTGTTAAATCTAGTTTTTGAAATTGTTCGATCCAATTCTGAGCATTCCATTGATAATGAAAGATTGGATGTTGATAATTATGAAATAGTGTCATAATATCTGGTTCGATCTTGAGCATATCTGTCTCATACCAATTTTCAGCACGAATATCCATAGTTTCTGGATCAATAACAATACTATATGGCTTAATTTCCATCACTGTAGTACCTATGCGCACATGTCCTCCGTCTAAACAATTCTTATAACTTTCCTCATTATTGAGTTCCACAATAAGCTGATCGCTTACATGATTCTGAGCAAGAATTCGATTGGTAAATAAGCTATGCTTAATAATATGATCGATACTAAAATCACGAGGTACATTAGAGACAAGAACTTGATAGGGAAGTTTTGTTTTCTTTGGCACACTTCGTCCATCAATTGTCAAGAAGTTTACTGATGTCCATGTTGTGGCAGATTTTGTTACTAAAACAACGGCGTTACCAGTATTTTGATTACACTGTACGTATAATGATGTTGTTGGAAGTTCTTTACCACCAATTTGAGCGACCACAGCAGATAAAAGTTTAGTATCATTGGTAAACAATGGTAAATCACTAAAAAAATTGCAATCTACACATACATAAACGTTGGCAATGGATTTTTCGATCTGAAACTGTGGTGAATTAGCTACTTTGGCTAGATCATCGAGTGAATTTAAAGTAATACGAAAAATGTTGGGAAACTGATCAGAAATTGGCTCACACACGGGATTTGCTGATATTTTGAATGCTTGTTTAAAACGAGAGATAATTTGTTCAGAAGAAGGTATCTTCGATAAATTTCGATCAATTACTACATAAGAGTCAAGTTGGAGTTCATTTACGAACGATACACTTATGCGATGTTGTCGATCGAGAATCGTTGACTGAACACTATCAACAAGATATATTTTGTCGTCATTATTCATCAATTGCATCACAGCTATACCAAGTTTTGAATAGCATTTCACATTGCTTATTTTCATTCGACCAATGCTCTCGGCACGATTCTGAAGCATTTGTTCGACATCCTTCTCGGGAATACTTGATGGTATATCGGTTACGTATACTAAAGTATCATCATCATTGGAAGCCATATGACTTAAGTGTTACTTGCGTCAAAATAAAATTAATCTAAAACAACAGTTTTCTAATAGGGTGAGTGTGGGTCCCGGGGTGGATATAAGTAATTATCAAACACACACCCACACCTACACCCTTTCCTCCTTGTCCACATGTTTCAGGTAGACAACTAAATTCTATCATCTTATTAATATCTATTATGAAAAATGGGACGAAATCGATTCCACATATACATACGCTCGATTATCAATCTTCTAACCGCCAAACAGAAGGTAAAAATGAAAAAAGTGAATTTGGAAATTTCCAAGTGTTATTTGCCATCTTGAAGTTGATGATAAGAAAATGCTTTAGACGAATAATTCATCTTTTACAACATACAGGTAAAAAAGACGGTGTATAACTTGCCGATAAAAGTATTATTTTATATTCTTATCGAATGAAACTAAGAAAACCAAAATTCGGCGAAAGAAACTGGGTATCGAATCGAAACGACATTCTGTAGAAATATAATAAAGATAAGAGAACTACTGCAAATTCATCCTTGAGATACAGACACCAACATTCATACTTCTAGTTTCATGGCAAGCGAGAAAGATAAAGAATTTTTACAAGCCATCTGTCTCAATATCGATAGCAATAAAAATACCAAAACCATTATTTTTTGTCAGGATTTCAATAGAATAATAAAAGCAAATACACTTACCATATCAAGAATTTATTGTGAACATCATGAGAGTCTTGTGAGTATCATAAAATTGAGCTATTATGATCGAATAAATTCACAAGACAAGTTTCTATCTCGTATTATATATCATTCGCATTTGAATAAAATATAAGCAGTTAACGGCAACTGCACTATCGATGAGTGAAACTATGATCTTATCTTTTGTTTTACTTACAGCTCGATTGATTCAGCATGAAATTTCAACAAAAGAATATCTAATTTCAGTGTGAGAGTATAGTTTATGTTTTGCATAAGACTCGAATACGACTACTCGAAGAATGAACCTATTAAAACATAATAGCTTAACATGTTGGGTAGATGTGTGTACGTGTGAGTATTTGAAAATTCATTACACTCACACCCACACCGTCAAGATCGGTCAGCGCTACAAGTAAAGCACTTATGAAACTGAAGAAGCTTCACACCTAACTATTTCGTCTCAAACTAAAAGGGTGTGGATGTTGGTAGAAGTGTAGCTAATCTATAATATTATCCACAATTACATCCTACTTTTAACAAAGTTTTATATTTTTTTTCTTCATATTTACTTATCATATCATAGCTTTGAAACTTATTGCGTGTCTTTTTTTTTATAAAACATTCTATGAAGAAGATAAGACCAAAAATCTTTGAGAAAATTTTGTCATTTGCAAATAAAGTTTTGTCTGAGAATCCGTCTTGTTGTGTGTGAAAAAATGGCAAATTCTTTAGAAAGACCAAATCTGCTATTAAAACAATGTGAAGAATTATCTCAAAGAGTTTCGAAATTTAACAAAACTATTGAAGATTCAGTCGCATCATTGAACAATGATACGAATCAGCTTCTCACATCGATTAAAGAGAATATTGAAAGTGAACTTATCTAAGACAAGAATTAATGGTAAAGTACAGCTTGATGTAGATGAACGTGATTTTTCTACAACGGTTCAAGCATTGACGAGTGAAAAAGATACGTTCTTTACAGCACTTTTCTCCAGACAATGGGAATTAGAAAAAGATGAGAAAGGACGAGTATTTATTGGCAGAAATCTTGGATTTTATGAGAAGTCCAAGTGAATTTATTTTACCCGAAGAACGATTACGTAAACGATTAATTGGTGAAGCAAAATTCTACAAATTGAAGTCCTTTTTGGAAGTTTTAACAGAACCAGAAAGAAAGGAAGAAGAACGCAAAGCATAACTATTTGTTGGTGACACGCTTTTGAGTGTAGAACAAATAAGAAACTTAAATGAGTTTTATGGTAAAGCCGATCAACGTTGGGAATCAATATATATAGCGACGAAGGATGGTTCCGACGCCAGTACATTTCATCGTCTTTGTGATAATCAAGGTCCTACAATGGTGATCATTCGCTCAACAGGTGGCTATTTATTTGGTGGTTATGCGTCACAAAGCTGGAGCTCAAATGGAAGTTATACGAATGCACCAAATTCCTTTCTGTTTTTGTTAACAAATGCCAATGGAAGCCAACCAACAAAGTTTCTTTACAATAATAATGGTTATGCTTTCTATAATCACCCAGCCTACGGTCCAGCATATGGCGGTAGTCATGACTTACATATATGTGACAAGAGCAATGCAAACAACAATAGCTATTGTAATATGTCAGGTGAATCTAGTAGTTATCCGAACACTCTCGGACTTGGTGTGGTGACATTCACTGGTGCAAAGAACTTTCAAACAACAGAAATTGAAGTTTTCAAGTTATCGCAATAGTTGATTGAGACTTTGATTATTCTAAGATTTTGTTGTAATCATTTTATTTTATCTTAAGGATGGATGTGAGCGTGAGTAATATCTTCAATTCACATCTACATCTACTTCACTTTTTTTCATATCACCGTGGAATATGATTATCTGATCGACACCATAGTGATAAAAAAATCTCTTTATAAATACATCTAGTGATTTATAAGAACCTTTGATTATTTAATTGAAATTAATATAAAATAATGCCACCTGAAGATTTTAAACCCTTTAGCAAGTTGGAGATTATAGTCGTGATAGCTATATATTTTGATACACACGCACATTCTCAGTATTTCGGTGTACACATCGATGCTGATACATTCCTATAACTATACTATTTAAATAGTTTTTTTTTCATAAATTTAAATTTATTACGTTGCATAAGATGATGTCGTCAACTTCAAAACATAAAAAAAAGAAAAGCATCAAATTCTTTGATATCAATGAGAGGTGTCGGGCAAAAGTGACCCACCCTTGATCTTATATTTTTATTATTCAATCAAGTTGTATCTTCTCAGTACCACATATATCACCTGGATTTTGTTTGTTTCCTTCATCTATTTCATTTCGTCGTTTCTTCTTTATTGGTTGTATCGCCACTGTATCCTCTGGATTATGTTCGTTTCCTTCGTCTGTTTCGTTTCGTCGTTTCTTCTGTATTGATTGTATCGCCCCTGCATCCTGTGGATTATGTTCGTTTCCTTCGTCTGTTTCGTTTCGTCGTTTCTTCTGTATTGGTTGTATCGCCACTGCATCCTCGGGATTATGTTCGTTTCCTTCGTCTGTTTCGTTTCGTCGTTTCTTTTGTAGTGGTTGTATCGCCACTACATCCTCTGGATGGTCACTGTATTCCGAATCGATGCAATCCGCTTTTCTCTTTTCGATCTTATCCGAGAGAGTGATTACACATATATCGGTTGGATAAATGATTCGATCCTTTTCTCTTGTTGCCATGTAATCGATAAAAGGCAATTTGCCTTTCGGATAGTCAATGAGGGTTCGCACCCAAATACTTGCCTTCAATTGTTCAAGAGCACTAAAATTTGTCCAACTTCCAGGTATAGAGAAGACAAATGTAGGTCGTAATACCAAACGCTTTTCCAATGCATTGAAAACATGATCCACACACAACTGCATAAGTGATTCATCAAATGGAGGGCATAGATAATATGTCATATCCGGAAGCTCTTCTTCCCATTTTATTTTGAAGAAGCAACCGCGTGATCCAAAATCGGCCTCGAGATCATGAAAAGCTGAATAGTATCGATCAAAGTAATGATTGAAAGCTGAAGCAAAGCCTTCACAAGCTAATGGATCGTCTGCACTCCGTTTTGTGTCTTCTTTATATGCTCGAGCAAGACCATGACCTGTCAAACACAAATAAGAGTACCGTAATCCAAGTGCATAAGCGGCATTGTAGTATTTAGACCCATAACGCTGAGCTAATCCTGCGAAGTCTTCTTGAGAATCATCTCGATAAATTAGTTTACTGTTCGGAGGTGACGATAGAGTCACCGCTTCGTCCTTTATAAACTTTTCGAAACGTAAGCTTCGCGCAGCTCTTCCTAGCTCATCATCGATTAGGTCAGCCAGTTTTTTCGAGCTTCCAATGTCTGAAGTTTTTAGATCGCGACAAAGTTGATCTCTGGCTAGCTTCGAAGTACCAGTGACAAACACTGGGTCCGATCTGCTATCGAGTACCGTTGTTGCTTTTTTGTTGAATATATAACGTAACAGAATATGTGCTATTTGCATTTCAGAAAAATGTATACGATTGCCGTAGTCTAGTAACCACTTTCTAACGGATCGGAGCATTTGTTCATAGTAGATCTTTCGGATCAGTTCAGTCTCTACCAATTTGTCTTTTTGTAACAAAGCAATATCACGACCATCGTTTATGCGATTCATTGTTTGCCTGTATAAATATGTGTAAATATATATCTAAAATAGCTAAAATTATTCCGACATAAAATATATTAAATTGCTGTAAGAATCTCGAAAAAAAACACATTGAAAAGGAAAAATCCCGAAAGAAAATTACTGAAACTAAAAACACAGAATTTAAGCAGAAGGAGAAAGCGAAATTTTGAAATCGGAAGGGTGAATGTTTGAAAGAAATAGAGACACGCACATCCTTGTTGTTATTCATGTTATCTTTATAAGAAACGGGTCTTGAATAAACAATACAACTTTAAAGAAGCATATGGTGAACATGTCAGTTTTTAATCGTTGTGGATCTATATATGCAATCACAATTGATTCTTGAAGGTTTTGGAATGGTATAGTAATACTGTTGTCGAATGGACGTTCGTTTTATGACAATTGAAGTTTACTTTCATAGTTCGAACATAGACTGTCGAGGTCATTTGAAACGTTCGCTGTGTCTTGACCACATGAACTAGACCAAATTGGTTTGATACGTTCGTATTGATGGCATGATGAACATACTCCTTTCCATTGATTTTGTACAGGATATTGACAACCCGAACATTTTCCCTCCAGTTCAGTGACACCCATCCACCATGGATTCCCTAACGTTTTACCATATACTCTCTTACATGTTTCCCGACTTGGAATAATTTGCAACAGTGTACGATGGAACTCGATGGGGTGTTTGCCTACTTTTGCAGGAATATCGTGTTGCTTAATTTCCTTCCATGTCCAGTTTCTTTCGGTGGTATTTGAGTACAATGGAATATTCATATGTAGAAAGCGTTTGTGTATCTGGGTCCATTGACTAGGATTGACTTGGTCCCGAATCCTTCGAAGATCAGACTCGAATTCAAACTCGGATGGATGAGAAACGTATAAAGCGATGGGTTCATTTGTAAAGTCATTTCCTAATTGAAAATGTCGAGTAGCAATATCTATTTTCCGAGTCTGAAACACCAGTTCTTGCATTTGAACATCACTAATTGTAGGACGAAACGATTCGAACTGTTTTCTTAGTTGTTCTGGACTAGACATAGTAACGAATTGAACCAATGTAATCCTGTAATATCCATCCCAGACATCGGGAATACTTTTTGCATTTATATTCGGGGCCACCATGTCAAAGTATTGGTTCAATACATTCAATCCTTTGAATTGCTTATAATCTGGGAAATTGCGACAAATAAAACCAAATTGAACTGGATCAACAGAGAAACAGATAAGATATGAATAATTCGGCATGTCGAGAATTGCAAATGGAATGAAAAATTCGCTAAATAAATTTACACGAAATTGTAAATAATCAAAGTTCGAATAGAATTAGATTTTATCATATTTCCAATAAGAAAAAAGGTAACTATTTAAAGCTTGATGCTAGGGCTTTTAATAGTTGACTACGGTCTGCAGATCCTTAAAGATTTCTTCAATTTGAAGAAATTTGATGTGAACGTGAGAGAACCGATAAAATACCACATAATATTTTTTAATTTCTAGACTCATATATAATTTGTACGATATTAGGAAGCGTCATGCTCTCTTTAAGTGTTTCTTAGCGTTCAAAGCGTCAGCTGTTTAAAAATCGAAATTATTTAGTCATTATAAAATTAATAGAAAAAATACAATAATTACAATTTAAAAATATCTAGCTGAGAATTTTAAAAGTAAAGAGTAGTGTTCTAATTCAAAAAACAGAAAAGAAATCATGGTTTGTTATTTACCGTAGGATCTTAGTTTGATTGTTGAAAATTGATCCAACAAGATGAAGATTGTTAAGTTTGGCTTCCATTTATATAATGGTTGTACTGGGTAAAAATTCTTTCTTATCAGAAGAATATCAATTTCACATATATTGTGTGATCTACCCAGCCTGGGTGAGTGAGACAAAAGACACATCATGTCCTTTTATTCGCTGATATGATTACAGTGAAAATAAAGTGTTCTTACTCAATGCAAATAAAAACAACTCTGCATCTCTGAATACAGAATTGTTATAATTTCGAGCATGTAGACGCTTCGTCATGAGTCATAATAAAAACAAAATACTGCTTCGCATATAAAAAGAACGAGAAAAAAAGCAGGCAAACCACGATTAAATTCCGACTAAAAATCTGCCATAATCATACAATTTTAAACGATTCAAATCGATAGTAATCAATTGTAGTTAATTAGGGATCGTTAAGGGTATAAATTTATTGATCGCTTATATTCACAATTTTACCAAAATATATTTATAAAAAAAATCAATGTTTTTTTTACAATGAGTATGTATATGAGTATAATCGTTATTTTCTCAGCTAATTATTATGATGGAAATAAAAATTATTCTCTTTCTATTTAGTTTGAAAAAATAATATCTACATTTTTAATCAATTTAATAATAATTGAATAAATTCATATAAAATATTTATTTCACTACACTAATGTATCGAAAGAATATTTTAATGTTTTCAAACAAAATTGACAAACTGATCTGAAAACATTTAAAAAAATAGATTTTGGAATTGATTTCATTATGAAATTTGATCATTTTTATTAAATGTTCATCAACGTTTACTAGTTAGATTTTCATAATAAACAATTTTTATTATTGATTTGATCATTTCTTCAACTATTCTAATAATAGTCTTTCTCAAGAAAATCTACTTTGTAATTTCTATATGGATCACGAAGAAATAAAAAACAAAAGTCTCACCTTCAAATCCTTATTCTTTTCATCAAATTTGAAAAAATTGCAATAAAAAAACAGCAATACAAGATGAAAATCTTTTCAACATATGTTTTATTCCACAAAATTCATTGTGAGCCAAGTTTTATTATCAATCCTTCATAAAATGTATCTTTTCGCTTCGATTTTAAACAATTCTTAGAATTTTATAAAACACAAAATCTTCTTTTCAAATAATTTTTATTTAATTCAATTTAAATTACGAAATATTTTCTTTTCCTTTCTTCTATACAATTTTATAAAAATCAATCAAAGATGAAGAGTTTAACGTTTATTTATTCTAAATTTTTTTAATGAAAATTATCACATTAAATTCAATTTTGAAGAAGAAAAAAACAAAAAAATTCTTTTTCTTCAAAATGTATTCAATTTTCGCATTGATTTTCAACAATAAAACTTGAAATTTTTCTTTTATTACTCCGCATTTTTTATTTGACAAAAAGTTTCTTTTCTTTTTTTCAAAATCAAAGTTTTACTCATAATATTATTTGAAATTTTTCAAGTCGATCATTCAAATGATTAGCAACATAAGAATCTCTTTCATCCTCGTTTTATTCTTGGGGTTGTGAATGGGTGTGGTGAGTGATTTGTTTATATTCATACCCACATTCCTCTAGAAATCAAGACAAAATAACTTTTGGGAACATCAATTTTTAACATCGTTCTCATCACGAGAATTCACGTTCACGCGGAAGAACTTGTTCTCCCAGGACACTAATTCGCTTACAACATCCGTGCCGGAAAGAAATAAAGTAACGAGAAGAGCTGTTTTTATTATATTTTTATTAAAAAAAAAAGAAAGTATAGGTAATTCTTATAGAAAAAACAGATGAAAGAACAAAGTTTGTTTAAATTTTTGCTTTATTGACTTATGCTAGCTACAATAACAAGGTATTGCAGTTTTTTTATTTGACAATTCATTTTTTCTATATCCGTGTCCATATGTTTTAACTCATTAATTATAAGAGTAGTTCAAGACCCAGGTCGAACAATTCAGCCTGGAAACGGTCGGTTCCAGATATTTCATGGAAGCAGTATTCTGGTGAACGGATCTGGGCAACGGACTTATCCGATTATGTTTGCAACTCATAGTAACCTGTCAAAACCGGATAACGTCGCCGCATCCTGGCGCCGAATTTCTAGTGGTTTCCAGCAACTTCCGACCGGAAACTGTCAGTTTTCTAACGGTTTTCACTTGAAACTGACGGAACGCCTCTATTAATAAAATAAATAAATAAGTTCATATTAATTATAATATAACGATCATCGAGCTTACCTCGAAGTACACCATAAAAATGTCATGTGATTGTTTATTAAAAAAATTTTTATTAATTAACATACAGTGTGTATAAATATACATTTTATTAATTAAACTTTCGTGAAACTTTTCATTATAATTGTTTTTATAAATACTGACTAGAGCTCCGAATTCCATATTATCTAAAACACAGATAATGATCTTTTAAATATTACGAGATAAACTTCGGAGATAAGTTATCTAACTTATTTACTAGTACCCAGGTCGAACAATCTGGCACGGAATCGGCCGGTGCCGTGGTATTCCGGAGATTTCATGGAAGTAGTATTCCCGTTGAACGGATCCGGTGACCAGATTTATCTGGTTTAGGTAGGAACATGTCAAAACCGACAGTCGGATACGGTTACCTTACTTCTCCATCGGATTCCTGGCATCTTCCGAGCGGGTTTCGCCCAGAAATGGCGCGTTTCCTCAGGGATTTTGCTGGAAATCCATGAAATCCTGCTTCAGAAACCATCGTCCTGGGTAATATTTAGTTTCATTTGCATTTCTTTTATCACTTAATATATCTCTCTTACAACACATATATATATATATGTATCCTATACACATTTTATTCTATCTACGTTGTATTCTAGAAATATAAAAATTATTAGATCAGCTTCATGTTGTTAATGTTATAGTTAAAGTCAGCTTATATTTTCTTGTTTTCACTATTTAACACGTGTACATTCATATAGATACATGGGATGATATCAATATCTAAGAAAAAGGAAAAAGACTTAATACTAAAAATAAATTTGAATATTATCAATATATTTTTGAAATTTTCAACTATTAATTAAAATTTAAAATTTTTCTTTATTATTGAAAAATTAAAAAAAACTTCAACTTACAGCTGAATGGTTGATTGTTGTTTTCATATTTTTTATATTCATTTTCGTATATACGATCAACTTTTGTTAACATTTTTTAAATATTTGTAATGAATATTCTTCTTCTTATTATCCAGGAAACGTGTTTGTTCAATATCTATAATGCCATTCTTTGTTATTTTGAAATAAAACGAAAATTGCTTCTTCAATTAATAAAAGAAAACAATACTTTTATATTATACACAATACAGCAATTGTTAAGCTTACTTCCAAATAGACAATAAAATTGTCCTCCATTTGTCCGATGATCTTTGATTCTACTTGAACTCCTTTTTTGAAATAATTTCGATGTATTACATTATATCCGTGCTCGTTAAACGAGACATCTTTTGTACATACGTAAAAAGGGTTAAAAAAACATATATAGTATTCGAGGATATTCCTTTTCTTACATTATTTGAATTTATCCAGGAGCTTACCTCGAAGTACACTATAAAAATATCGTGTGATTGTTTGACAATCTTTACATTTATTTTCACGCCTCGCTTAATATATTCGAATGAAAATCCACTAGCATCTACTTGGTCGAATGAGACTATTGTTTTTGTTCGTGACTTCAAAGATTAAACAAATATTTACTAGTCGAAAATAATGCTTTTCTTACATTATTGCATTTGTAGAATACAAGCTAATATGTGTAAACAAAAACGAAAAAATTTTTGGGCAAGAATTGTACGTGAAGTCTAAAAAGTGTCGCTGCTAACACAGACCTTTGTGGAGCATATATATACATCTTAATTGTTTTAGATAATGGTTCTCCGCGATATATAGCCATCGTTCTTTTTTGAAATCATTTATAAATCCATTTTATCAATGGTCAAGGCATATCTAACTTAATTAAAATAATTATCAAGGCGGAATACCACATTTTGTCGAAAGTCGACATAAAATCAACAAAAATAAGTAAAACTGGACGATTATTAGCATTGAGAATCATGAATCGCAATCCATTGTTATCTATTTGTTCATCACTCATTTGTTTATTTTATCTAAAATAATAGCAAATTAGTAATTTATAATATGAAAATATTTAAAATGAATAAAACCAAAAATAACTGTCATTTAAGACAATTTTTTGTCCTTCGTCAAATATACTCAAGTTAGCTTGTGTGCCATTGGTACGCGTGATATCACTAATGACGTACACGTATGAATGGCGCATGGACTGTACATCGTACGCACTATCAATGCTCCCCATTAAGGAAGACAAGAAATCAGAGTATTTTCGTTTTTCCAAGATAGAATAGATTTTTTAAATTTTTTACATAAAATCGCTCAAATCATTATTTTTTAGTTTTAACGATACTGAGAAATCCTGACCTTTCTACCAATAAAATAGACAAATAAATAGATTTACATTAACTATAATCTGATAATCATCGAGCTTACCTTAAAATACATTATATAATCATGTGTTCGTTCAGGTCGATCACTCAGATCATCTAAAATCACGCCTATAAAATGGCATAATTCCTGTCATAAATGGCTAAGACTGAGGGCCGTTTTCGTATAGTTTCCAACTGCTTGCGGGTTATTATATTTGATCCGGACTATTTGACAAATTCGAAACAAAATCCATCGCCTTCCTCTTCATCAAATGAGACTATTGTTTTTGTTAAGTTCTTTAATGGTTGAAAAATGATGGTTTTCTTACATTAATTGAATTTATCCAGGAAAATTCTTTAGAAATAAGCACTGCGTGCATATATATATATATATACTTTATTAATTGGTTTTTTATTGAATTGATCAATATAAGTATTTTTGTAGATATTGAAAAACGTTTTAAAATTCCAAATTATTTAAAAGACAAAGAATGGCGTTTGTAGAGTGGGTGTGTGCGTATTGTATCTGTGATATCCACCCTCACCCAAACCGTCTAGTGACTGATTTCTCCTTTATTTATCCATGAGTAAAATACATCATATAAATTATTCTACTTTCAAAGTTTATTTTTAACACAGATTACAGTTTATTCATGATGAATTCCCTAATAAAACAATTGATTTCTTATAAATGAATATAATGAAAAACGAGAATAGTAATTATAAACAAATACATTGAATGAAATACTTTTGTTGATGAGTTTCGCATTACAACAAAAGTTGCATTCCAAATACCCTTTTTTGACATCGCTTCACTATTACCAGGCCATGGTGGCATTGTAACTGCCATTGCCACAAGTGGTTTCTTTCCTATTGTACGAAATTGAAATTGTGTACCAAGTGGTATAGTAATACATATAGCAGCATTAACTAAAATAATTTCTTCTCTTTCATTCTGTTTACGCCAAAATTCTCCTTGGCCAGATAGAAAATACCATATTTCAGAGACAGTACGATGTTCAACAGCATTTGATATCATTCCAGGTGGAAGTTCAAATTGTGCCATACTACCGCCAACTGTTGTTAACATATTACGAACTAGTGAACCATCAGGTGCGACGATATCAGGATTTATCGGTAAAGATTTAGTTTGAAATGAATGTATAGAAAGCGTTTGATTAATGAATGTCAAATTTCTAGTCGTTATAGTTACTGTAGAAGACCCTATGAAGCAAGAATAGAAAGAAAAAAACTATTTAGAAAAATACAAGGTAATATTTACCAAGCTTGTTTACGATTGACGTCGTATGATCTAAAAAAATATCATGATACAGTTCAATCATGTTAGGAGCGGAAGTAGTAAATTGATGGTTATCAGTATATTGTGCCGGTACTTGAATCGTGAATCGTATGCTGCAGAAAATAATTAAAATAATGATATTGAATAACATTGTAGGTTGTTGTTGAACCAAATACAGTTGTCAATTTGTATTTATATATGAAAATCTATAATAAACAGAGAGAAAAATTTGAATTATTAATTACGATAAAAATACAACTGGTTTCATTATCTATTTTTTATTGTTCAATAAATACGATCTATTTTAGTTAAAAAAGCTTTCTTCTAATAAATTCATTTTAATGATCAATAATTGATCAATATCGATAATAATAAGGTTTGAAAGGTCCAAAAGGATGTACATCTATATATGTTGATTGTGTCGGTGTTAGTGTATCTAATTTAACGTTCAGATATTCCAGATGTGCTGAGGCCACCGCTTCATCCAACTTAAATAAAATAACAGAAATAATTGGATTTATAAAATCATAAGTAAAACAGTAAGCTTACAGTTTTCGAAAGAGTATGAATACCAATTAAATATTGTCCTTTTTTTGTAAACAATTCAATTTGTGCCAAAATTTGATTTGAGAATGAATTACTCATAACGAAACTAGGATTGCCATGTGCACAAGCTAAACATATATATATATATATATATAAATATGATCATACTTCATCATACTTATGAATATTACTTACAAAGATTTACTACACGACCATCAGCAGGTAAAATAATAGCACGACCATTTGACAAATGATAAATATCAACCTTTAAACATGACAAACAAGTAGAGTGTTACGTTTTCTAATAATGAAATAAAATATACTTGTGGTTTCACATTTTCAATTTTCACTGCATTTTGTTTTAACCATACAACATCAATTTCTGTTTGACCCGAACCAATATTACATAAAATAACCATATCACGCATTTCCATCATATGTTCACCACGAATTAAACCAGTTGAACCAGTAGCTGTAACAAATATTTGACCTTTTTTACACGCTTCTGCCATTGTTATTACTTGATAACCTGCAACATCATAGATTAGCATCACCAATGATATTCAATCGAGAGAATTTTATATATGTAATACTCACCATCCATTGCTGCTTGTAAAGCACAAATTGGATCAATTTCAGTAATTATGACGCGTGCCCCAAGACCACTCAATGCTTTTGCACATCCTTTTCCTACATTTCCATATCCAATTACAACTACTACTTTCCCTCCAATCATTACATCTGTTGCACGTTTAATACCATCAATAAGACTTTCGCCACATCCATAATTATTATCAAATTTCGATTTTGTTACACTATCATTGACATTAATAACTGGAAATTTTAATTTTTGCTCTTTAAGTATTTTTCGTAGTTTTGTTATGCCAGCTGTTGTCTCTTCACTACTACCATGTATTAAACTCGTCAAATGTAGATATTTTTCGTGTACAATTCGTGCTAAATTGAAGCCATCGTCTAATATTGCATTTAATGGTTGACCATCGGGAAAATAGATTGTCTAAAGAGAATATCGATAATAGAATGGAAAAAATAAGAAGATGATTATGACTAGTATTATACAACTGATTAAGTATTATGATTCGATCAACGATTCGACTTTGAAAAGAGTTCATATTGCACAATGCACTTCTCAGAAAAAGCTGGCCCATTTAAATAGAGAGTATTAGAGAAATTAATCGAGCAAATTTCAAATGAAGAGGGAATATAATTAAAACTTTTTCATTTACTTGATCGATACACCATAATTTTTCTTCATCGGTTTCACCTTTCCATGCATAGATAGCTATACCAGCTTTCACTAAAGCTGCAGCTACATCATCTTGCGTTGATAATGGATTACAACAACTCCATTGAATCTATAATGAAATATACATATGTGAAAAATCTAAAGAAACTGAGCGATATATAGGAACTACTTACTTCAGCACCTAATTCATGTAATGTTTCGATCATTACTCCCGTTTGTGCTGTAACATGTAAACATCCAGCAAGACGAACACCTTTCAATGGTTTCTTTTGACCATGAATCTTTCTCAGTTGCATTACTCCTGGCATTTCTGCTTCAGCCATTGTCAATGCTTTTCGACCTAATTCTGCTAAATTAATATCCGCAATCTTGTACGGTAACTTTTCAATTCCACTATAAAAAAATCGAATATTTTCAGATTGTTTCTGTTCCTTGTTAAAACCATCTATCCATTCATATTCTTCTAAAATAAAAATATATTCAATTTCTCAATTCTTGCAATACTAGTTTATTTATTTTAATTAACATTAAAAAGTCGTTTTATATATACTGTTAATCTTAAACATAAACTTGTTTGTACCGTTTTTACTTCTCAAAAGTCTATTAATCCTCACAAGTATCGTTTTCTTATTAATTGATTCAAGAAATCAAATAGTTACGTCTAAAAAGGGTGTCCTGTAGAAATATGTCATTAGCTTCAACTAAGAAAGAATTTCTTCTTATTCTTTCACAGGAGATAACGAATATAGAATCTTAAAGAGTTGATTTCGTCATTGTAGCATATATTGAAGCACAATCTTTTACTTACCACAATTGTGATCGCTCAATTGTCGACAAAACCGTTTTTGTCTAGTTTGATTTAATTTTGGCGAATTTTCCGATTCTTCTTGATTTGATAAGCATTCAACATCGATCGTAAATCGTCGTTTGACAGACATTTTGTTTTGTTTTTATAGTAACTTGTTTTGACTTTTAATCAGTTGCGATTACTGAAGGAATTCAGAATAAAATCGATGCTTTTATAGGGATATCGTGCTCTGGATTTTATAACGCCTTCTCATTTTAGGGACGTAGGAGGAAAAATGAAAGAGAGAAATAGATATCATTTTTTGAGTGGGAGATACGCCAAGTATATGTTAATTCATTCGAAACGTATGTAAGTAGTATATTCGTTCGTTCTACCCTACGTCATGGCCTTGATCCATTTTGTTTGTCTATTTTTTCTTATACAACTAACTACGTAGCCGCCTACATTATAATCAATTCATAACAGATAAACGAATGACGCTTGAAGGATAATTTTCTAAAAAGGTGATCATATAAATAGATGAGAAACAACTGTTCATAATTATTATATTAATAAATATAAAGTAAGTACATCATATAGAATAAAACCGCAATAATCTATAGGAACAAAGTAACTTCGTAAACATTCAGATTTAGAACTTATTTCTTGTTCTTCTATGTTTAGCTGTAAATCGATATGACTGAAACTATTGTAAAAGCAGCTGCAGATAAAAGAAATCATCATTCAATTCGAAAATGGTCTGGTGTAGTATGGCTTTTGATTGAAGTAAATTTAATTGGTGGAACAATATTTGGATTTGCAGCTTTATTTAAAATTTTACCACAATATGGAATTTATGCTGATAAAAATAGTTGTTTGAATACAACAGATATACAAAATAGACAAGTGATTTGTCAAGAGCATCAAACCCGACATTATCAAGTATGCGTGTATATCAAATCTATTGAATATTTTATAAAATTAATTTTAGAATGCATTAACATTGGGTATTATATTATTTGAAATTCCATCAGTGATTATTGGACCATTAATTGATCGATTTGGTTGTCGATCTGTAAAAATAGTTGCAATGTAAGTGCTATTTATCTGTTATCTTTTCAACGTTCATTATCATTCTTTTAGAATATTTCATCTTATTGGATGGTTAGCATTAGCATTAGTTGCTCCTGGTAAGTGTGTAGGTGTTAATAAAATACGCATTATATATTATCATTTTTTAGGACGAGATGCACTTTTATATGTACATACAGCCTTCTCATCGTTGGCTGGTATCATGGTATTATTAACAGCTTATACATCGAGTAATTATTTTTCAAAATCAAGAGCATTCGTATCGGCATTGTTTGCTGGAGCGTGTACATCGGCTACAATATGGTATTCTATATTTCAGGTATGCCATAGATTTCTGCTTTTTTTTAATCATAAGTAGAACATTACATCAATATTGTTTCTAGACTTTAATTGATGCTCATACGGTTACACTAAAAGAACTATCATTTATATGGATGTCATTTGCTGTACTGATGTTAATTAGTTCATTCATATTTCTTGATTGGACATTTCCCGTATTAAACTTACCGTATCATTCTGATACAAAAATGGAAAATAAAACTGCTTCTTTAACTGTTACCGTCGGTGAGTACATTATCAAAAAACATTTATTCGTATATTTTCTTGTCTCTTTTGATATCAAAATCAATTATTAGACGATAATGAATCAGAGAGAATAAAATGGTATACACGAATTTTGAAACGACAAGGTGTTTGGCATTATTTAACTAGTCCATTATATCTGTTGGTAGTATTATTTTTAAGTATTCTATTACTACCAGGAATATTTCTTGCTGTAACATGGTATCCATGGGTATACTATATCACGCAACAAGATACACTATTGGGTAATTGTTTTTTCTTCTTTGCTTGACTATAAATGAAACTTTTCATTCTAGCTAATAAATACACATTTGTATTTAACTTATCTACTATTTCTGCTATTATTATTTGCCCATTAAATGGTTTTCTACTTGGATTCAAAGCCGATAAAAGTGAGATATCAACTTTTAATATCGAAACTTTAAACTTTTATTATTTTCATAATATTTAGATAAAAAACAAAAATTATTCAATATTTCATTGATGCAAACTATTTCATGGATTATTAATGTATTAGCATGTATTGTATGTATGTTTCCTAAGAAAAGTATGATCATTCCAGCATTGGTAATTAACTGTATTGCACGAGCTACAATTGTGAGTGGAAGCCAAGCCGTAGTGGCAACCTTGTAAGTATTATCTATAAAATCGTGATCATTAATAATCAATTCTTTTTACACTTTCATGTTTCTTAGAGATAGAAAATAAATCAATGTTATATTCTTTGATATCTATACAAGGACGTTTACTTTTGTTAATAATTATTCATTTTTATTTTAGTTTTCCATCAGAATATATTGGTACACTAACTGGTGTAATGTGGATGTTCGTCGGTGTTATTGCCACTCTTCAATATGGTTTAGTTCAATTAACGAATGATATATCTCTTTCATGGAGAGTAAGTTATTTGTAACGTCTGATCGCATTAATTTATAAGACTATTTCTCTTTTTTTTTGTAGGCATGGTTGATTATCTTATCGCTTGTGCTCTTAATGTCATGTCATTTAATTCAGCTATGGTGGAAATATGCAAGACAATTGAAAAAGCAATCAATCACAGTTATTCCAAACGAAATTGTAGTCAAATTTTAATAAGGCAATCTCTAGTTTTTCATCTGATGTTATCATTTTTAAACAACTAAATTTTACATCATACTGTTAGCCTTTATATTTGTCAATAATTTAATCTAATATTATTTTAATGTATAATAATATTACTAAAGATGTATGTTATTTCTTCCAATTTATTTTGTTTGTTGAATAAAATTTTCTTTTCCATTGACAATATTTTGATCTAATAACTTCGATAGTTCGCATCAATTCTCGAGATGGGGTGTGAGTGGATCTAGAATAGATGTAACACTCAAACCCTTCTATGATTCATTAGAAATAATATAAATTATCAAAGAATAATTCGTGTCATGCCATCAATTAACATGACAAGAATATGTGCATATGTCTTGAGATACTTCATTTCTTTCAAAAGAGTATAACCGTTCAAATCAGTATATTTTTGATAAAAAATGATAGATTTGCGGATGTGGGTGTGTGTGTGGTGTACCTGTGATGTGCATCCACACCCTCAAGATGCACCATCTATTTTTGAGCTAATGAAAATGTGATTGCTATGTTAAATTTACTCATCATATACGAGTTTTTTTTAAAAATAGCTAGTTTTCGTCTTTTCGTATGCTTAGAAAAGATGTCATTCGATTTTAAACGCAGCTGATTATAAAAATAAAACTCAAGAGAAAAATATTGCAATCTTTTTTTTCGTACTCGTGTAGAACGCAAGAAAATGAATACCATATAAGTCAACTATTTTCTATTTATTTTTTTTAGTTTGAAGTGCGACATCGGAAATCGGAAGAAAAAAACGATGAGTGATCAAGACACGAAAAAATTATTCGATCGTGAAGTAATTATTCATATACAGGTTAAAGAACCAACTGATACTATAATATTATATGCAGCTGAATTACAAATTGATAATGCAAAAATAATATCAAATACAAAAGGTAGTTTTATAATAATAATTCATTTAAAAAATGTTATTTTACAGATGAATTAAATGGTACAATTGAAACTGATGAAGAAAATGAACGTTTAAAAATTACTTTCAATAAAACACTTAAAGTAAATTATATTTAATTATATAAATAAAATTATTATTTTTTATTTTAGAAAAATGATTATCAATTATCAATGAAATTTATAGATGACATTAATAATCGTATGGTAGGTTTCTATCGAAATCAATATACGACACCTGATGGAAACGTTCGTTATAGTGCTAGTACACAATTTGAAGTAAAACTCTTTTGAAATAAAACGCTTGTATTATATTTAAAACTTATAGCCAGCGGATTGTCGACGTGCATTTCCATGTTGGGATGAACCAAATTTTGAAGCAACATTCGATATTACATTAATTACACCAAAAAATCTTCAAGCAATTTCTAATATGGTTTGTAAATTTAATTAATTATCAAAGTCATATGCATTTTTATTTTTCTAGCCAATTGTATCTGAAAGTGAATATGCCGAGAATAAAGAATGGAAAGTATAACAAAGTTTGATCGTACACCAATCATGAGTCATATCTTGTTGCTTATGTTGTTGGTGAATATGATTATGTTGAAAGAAAAGATTCAAATGGTGTCAGTATGAGAGTTTATACACCACTTGGTAAAAAACAACATGGTACTTTTGCTTTGGATTTGGCTTCAAAAGTTTTACCTTTCTGTGCTGAATATTTCAATATTAAATATCCAATTGCTATACCAGATTTTGCTTTTGGGTAAGAAATAATTTTTAATTCGTTATAAAAATAATGTTATTTTTTATTTTTTACAGCTATGGACAATTGAGGTGTAAGTAATCGAATATTGAACTTGTAGTGAACTATGTATTTTTATTATATCATATTTAGTTAATTACATATCGTGAAACAGCTCTTTTAATTGATCCAAAATCTTCATCTCTGACTGTACGACAACGTAATGCAATGACTATTTCACATGAACTTGCACATCAATGGTTTGGAAATTTAGTAACTATGGATTGGTGGACTGATTTATGTAAGATAAATAATAAATATTTTATATTTATATCAATTTTATTTTCAGGGCTTAATGAAGGATTTGCTAGATGGATTCAATATTTAGCTGTTGATAGATTTTATCCTGAACGGGATGTATTTTCACAATTTCTTGTACTAGATGCTTTGAAATCATCACATCCTATTGAAGTACCTATTGGTAAATTTAATATAATCATATATATATTTTCACATGTCAAATCTTATATTTTTATAGGTCATCCAGCTGAAATTGACGGAATTTTTGATACTATATCATATGCGAAAGGTTCTTCGGTAATTCGTATTACGGGTAAATCAGGTGATCAGGCAATTATTGATGAAGCAAAAAACCGCTTTCACCAATATATGAATGGAAATTTAATTGATCCAAATATTCGCCCAGCTGTTTATGTTGTTGTTTCACCTTATGGAGATGAAAATAGTGCATTATCTCGAATTGGCCGAGATATAGTATAGAAATTTTTACAAAAGAATTGGACAAAACTTGTGGAACGTTTTGGTGAAAATAGTGTCTTTCTTATTGATTTTGTTGAAGTAAATATAAATCTTATTCATTTCTTTCCCGAAGCTGATCATGCTCTTTTCTATTTAGTCTGGCTTATGCAATTTTGTTGATGAAAAAATAACGTCTGAAATTCAATCATTTTTTGATTCAGCTAATACATCAACTGTAACACTTACAGTAAAATAAGTTATTGAAACTATACAAATGCGATCGAACGTACTGAAACGAGATTCGAAAGCAATTGAAGAATATTTATTACAATAATAATTGACATAGTTCAAAAAAAAGAATAAACGATAAAAATCATTCTTATTCAGACAGTATTTAGTTAAAAGTTAGGAAGAAATTTTATATAAAGTAAATATATGCTTCAAAACAAAAACAAATTTATGAATTAGTAATATAAATTATTCTATTTTTTTCTTATACTCTTTCATTTCGTTTCAAATTCAAAAGTCAAGATAAATATGATCTATTTCAAAATATTAATTTAGTATAAAATATCATTTACTTTCTTCAATGAGTATATTTTTTCAAAAAGGATTAAGTAACACATTTAACAAAATATATAATACTAGGAAGTTTTACGTTTTTATAAAACAACGAAAGGAAGTAAATTAAGAATAATGCGACAAATACATAAAAATTTCAATATAGTTTGTTTATTTGATGCCTATATTAATTTCGAAGAAAATATAGATATTCAACAAATATTTAAAGAACTCGATCAATGTGAACAATATATTCAATCTATTTCTTCAAGTAATCAACTTATTTTCATCGTTAGTAATAATTTTGGTCAAGAATTAATACCCCGAATTCATCAACTTTCACAAGTTTATTCAATTTATATTTATTGTCATCATGAACAAGAATTCAATCAACATTGGACTGAACAATATAATAAGGTAAGTCTTTAAATCAAATAATTTTATATGTTTTTTTGTTACTTTTAGGTGAAAGGCATTTATTATGAAATTGATCAATTGATTGCATCTATAAAAAGTAATGAAGTAGGAATTAGAGCGATCACTGCTGTAGATGAACCGCTTTCTATGAGTATTTGCAATGTATCTAATGATTATGAACAAACAACAAGTGACCTCGATGGTCGATTTGTTCATTCACAATTACTTATCGATTGTCTTCTACGAATGGAACCATTGTCAACAGATAAAAATGAATTTATTTCTTTTTGTTTAAATGAATATCATGATAATGAAGATATGTTAAAGATTATTAAAGAATTTGAAGATGATTATTCAACAGATCGAGTAATATGGTGGTATACAAGAGAAACATTTATTTATCGATTATTAAATAAAAGTCTTCGTATTCAAAATATTGATTTATTATTTACTCTTCGATTCTTAATTCGTGATATAGAACAACAACTTCAACAACATCAATGTTCATCACCTATAACTGTTTATCGCGGTCAATTAATTTCCATTGAAGAACTTGAATTATTAAAACAATCAAAAGGCAAATTAATTTCAATGAATTCATTTTTATCTACTAGTCTTAATCGTAATACAGCTCTTGTCTATCTTAATACGAATATGAATGATAATACTAGATTACAACGAATATTATTTGAAATAGATGCTGATCCTTGTCGAAATGATATTAAACCATTTGCTAATATTTCATCATTTAGTTATTTTCCTACCGAAGATGAAATTTTAATGATGTTAGGATCCGTTTTTCGAGTCAATAATCTTTATCTTGATGAAGATCAAATATGGATAATGAATATAACTCTTTGTAGTGATAATGATCATGATTTAAAATTGATTGTTGATTGTATGAAAAATCAATATGGTTCAGAACAAACTAGACTTCTTCTATTTGGACATGTACTTGTTGATATGGCTTATTTTGATGATGCAGAAAAATATTATCATCGATTACTCAAAGATTTATCTTCTGATGATAAAGATATTTGTAATTGTTATCATGCATTAGGTAAAGTTACTTGTGAAAAAGGTAATTATGATGCAAGTCTTATCTGGCTATATAAATCATTAGAAATTATGAAACAAAAACTAAAAAAAAATCATTCACAAATTGGTTTTATTTATACAAGTATTGGTGAAGTATATCAAAAACAAGGTAATATAAAACAAGCATTAGATTCATATGAAAAGGCATTGAATATTTGGATGAAAACGTATAATAATGATAAGCATGAATATGTTGCTTGGTGTTTTAATAATATTGCAAATATCTATGTTATGGAAAAGAAATATTCCGAAGCACTTGAATATCATAAAAAAGCATTAGAAATTAAAGAAAAACTTCTTCCATCATCACATCCATGTTTAGGTAATACATATCTTAATATTGGTAATGTTTATTATCATATTGGTCAATATGATACAGCATTAAAGAATTATGAGTTATCAAAGAAGACCTATGAAATTTCTCTTACTCCTCAACATCCTTCGATTGCAAGTGTATTGAAAAATATTGGTATTATTTATGAAGTTAAATGTGACTTTTCTGAAGCTATGAAGTGTTATAAACAAGCATATTCTATTCGTCAGACATGTTTTTCTTTATCACATCCAGATATAACTGATATCATACATGATATTGAACGTATATCAAATAAATAACGTTTTTCTATTTTCATTTATTTCAATAATTAAATTTTTGTTAAAAATGATAATTTTATCTGTTTCGAACAAAAAAGAAAAAACATTGAAATATGAATTATTTCGATTATTTTTAATATTTCTGTTGTAAAACAGCCATCATACGAGGTAATACATTTGTTAATGCTGCATCCCAACATGGAAAATCATGTTTACCTTTACAGTTATTTCCAATTGATGCACCATTTCCATAATCATTAAAATATACTGGAATATTTAATGATTTAAGTGCATCACGCATACGATAATTAGTATCACGTATAGTTCCTTCCATAATTCCTTGATTACCAGTGTAAAGTGCTAAAGTAACACCTTTTAATGATGCTGCATGTGTAACTGGATTTTGAGCAGTCCATCCTGCTTTAGTCCATGGTAAGAGTGCAGCACCAAATGGTCCGTCAAGAGGTTTACCATCGATTGTTACTGAACCAAGAATTCCAGCTTGAATTCGTAAATCAAGTAAATCAAGTGCACCAGAAAAACTTCCTGCAAAAGCAAATCGATCAGGATATAATTCAGCATAACGTATTGCACCAAATCCACCCATTGATAAACCCATTATAGCTCGACCTTTTTTCTCTGTTACAGTACGAAGATTTTGATCGATCCAAGGTAATAATTGTTCCATATGAAAAGTTCGCCAATTTTGTGGAGCAGAATTACCAGGATTTAACCAATTGGTATACCATCCAAATGAACCACCATCAGGCATTACTGTGATTAAAGGAGACTGACCAAGAATTTGTTGTGCTTTACCACCTGTTGTCCAATCGGCAGCATTACCAGCACTACCATGAAATAAATAGAGAACGGGATATCGACGATCCTTGCCGCTACTAGTATAATCACGTGGAAGAAGAATACGAATTTTTTGATTACCTTTTACAGCAGTTGTAGATATAGTTAATTCGTAAAGCTCATTATTAATTTTAGAAGTAGAACGTACAGTAATACCACGTGCTGAAACAAAATTAGGTGCATCACTTAAACATACACTAGTTAAGTAACAGAGAGTTATACTGATTACGGCAAAGGAATGAATACGTGTCATGACTGACAGTTATACATCGATTAAATTTTGGTATTTATAAGGCAACGAATCCTATGATAAAAATGTACTCGAAAAAGAGAAAATATCAACACATAGAAACAGATGATATATTTCTCATAAGCAAAACGTTTTACGCCTACGATAACAAAATATTGATAAACTGTGAAGGTGTTTTTATTCATTTTTTCTTTTAATATCAGTAGCAGATATTATTATTAAGCGATGTATGATTTTGAAATCACATAGTTACATTTATCAGAAGCAAATAAGTCAACGAAAGATAACTTTATTTAAAATTGATTTGTTTGCGATAGAAATAAGAACGACATATTTTTTATATTTTTTATTAAAACATGTTAGCCATATAGAATAAATTCAGTTTTGAAATAATTTACTTAAACTCATAAAATTTACCCATGTAATGAATTTACTTCTTTTTTTATTTGTTATATAATATTTATTGAGAGTGTGAGTAAGCTACCAACACCCACACTAATAACATATGTCCTTTTGAATATAAACATAAATTAATAGAAAAAGTTTGATAATTAGATGCAATGACAAAATGTATCGTCGAACTCTGTACTCAATCCATATTGATCGACTTTTGTATCATGCGCTTCATCCACAACTATAACCCATTTTAATATTTGTGCTGGATCTTTCACACAAAATTCATCTCGATCATCGTCTTCATGATTATAATAAACTGTGTCATAGTCATTCCACCATGCGTTTGAATTCGAAACTGTACGTAGCTGATCAGATGTCACTTCTTTCACACGACCCATTCGAATTTCAGCACAAATCAATGCACCAGCAAATCTAGCTTTACCTTCAGTGCGTGCAATTGAGCGAGCAAAATAAACACCGAAACCAAGCATTTGTGGTGGGTTCATTGACTGTCGAAAATCACTGTGAGCAATAGCCACTGCTGATTCTGCTGTAGTACGATGAAAACCTACATAGGTTGTCGCTTCATTTGGTGATAATAATCCCCAACGTTCTTGTGGCTTATAATCATCCAAATGAAATATGAACAGATGTTCTAAACTTCGTTTTGGACATTTAAAATCTGGTCCCATTGAATCGCATGGTTTATTTCCCATATGCATATTGTTTCGATTATTACCAACTAGATGATACGGTATATATCGAACGTGCTTGCAAGACAGCGTCTGCCGTGGTGCCTTATCACATGACGGCCGATAATGCCACCAAATACGATATTGATAGATGTCAAGTAAAATTGCTAGCATCGGAAATATTAATGAAATCGTGCAAATGATTGCTAACAGTGCTTTTGCTGATCCATTAGTTTTTGATGTTGCATACAGAATTATAGCTATTATTCGTAGTAAAATACTGAAAAGTAAGAAAACTAATCGCACAGTGAAACGTAGACGTGGTCTAGGGATATAGCATGGGCAATTGCAGTTTAATGCAACAAATCGATTCATTGGTCGACTACATAATAGAAATTGTGAACAAGCCAATGTCACATTAGGATCATTCGCTGGTCGAACTTTGTTTTTATCATTAGAACCCAAATAACACAGAATTTTCAATGCAACTATTAGCAGAACAAACCCAATAATAATACCCATAAATGTTGGAACTAATGAGCCAATCCAATCAAGTATAAACCCAGCTGTGATTATCGCATCAGCTTTTTCTTCATTCATCGGTGAGGATAGTAGTGAAAAGAAAATTGTTAGACGAATTATCCCAAAAATAAGTTCACCAATAGCTAATAAAATATACCATGTAGGTAGACGTCTGTAACAGCAGGAACAACAGCACATTATAGATTCTGTAGAGAAAGAAAATGGACCAGTATATGATGAAAACCTATGATAAAATTCTTATATAACAAAGACAATTGTATACTATCTTAGTCAAAGATTATGGCTGTAGACTATATTCACTCCTATAACGTTAACTTCCATAGGATAAAATGGTTCTTAGATCACAACATTTATTAGATGTGAAGAAAAAGAGCCCTGATAAGTCTGGAAATATGGTGATAATCACCGTAAAAAACAGTCGCATTGGCTTGATTTAAGACATAAAATCACTTTGAAAATAATGGACAGTAAGGAAATAACAACGCGAAAGGTTCGAAAATTTAAACGTGAATACAGCCACTCAAAACTAGTTGAATGTCGACTACTTCATCAAATTGTACATTGGCTATATCAAAAATTTGGTATTATTACTTACTTATTGTTGGAAAAGAATTCGGTCGTAGGAAATGACTCAAAAATGGCGTCAGCCAAACTAGAGTCCATTAGTCCATATTTTACCTATCTTTTATATATGGATAATTTCAAGAATAAAGATAGATACCGAGCTTGTATCCGATCTTAACTGTTCAGGCATTCCTTTTCTAGACTAGTTCTTTCAGTTGCTACTTGTTAAAATTAATTAATTAATAAATGAGAAACTAATTAGAAATAGTTTTCAACTAAATAACAGAAAAGTCTAAGGTTTCTAGATGGATTTCATCGTTTCCGGTAGTAATGAATTAGCATTAATACACAACTTCTCAATGCTCCTTTTGGTTTTCTAGGTATATGTAGGGATGATTGTCGCAACTTTTTGGAGGCTATACGGACGTTTTTGCTATACTTGTCACGGCATATCTACAAATAATTCTTATTACTTTTTTTGAGGCCTATTCAAGGTCGAAGTGTAGGTTTAGTACAGTCGTGTGTTTTAATCTTAACTAAATCGGATAGTATAAGAGAATTGTCTCGAATACTATACAACTTTTTGCATACTTTCATCTGTGTTTTATCCGTTGCAGAGAAATTGATCATAGCTGATAGAGTTCGTGCGGTAAAGTCCTATTAAATTTTCTGTTAAGCTAGTTCTTGATTTTGCTAAATAAATATTATGCCGGAGAGGTTTTAAAAAATAAGTCTTTATTTCATGACAGACATAGTCAAATTTTAATGAGTGACAAAAAACAGCGTGCGTGAGAGAAAGGTGAAAGAATACTCCGTGTATAGTATAGTGACTAAGAGTGTCTACATGTTACTCAATAATTCACTGATTCAACTGTGTGAGTATTTCACTTTTCACATATTTAACGAAGTATTCATCTATTCAGCCTTCCTGTTACCGTTCCACTCAACAGCGACTATAACCGTCGCAGTATTTGGTTATCTAGCTTTTCGACCTTCGTATCAGAGGTCCAAACAGGCCGTGAGGCCTGCCCACCTAAGACAGGCGCAGGTCGGTATATCGAAGCCTGTCACAGGTCAATACTTCATACAGACCAGGCAGGCTCCTTGAAATGCGCAGGCCGTCTGTCTATCATGTTCTTGCCATTTCATAATAAAAATTTCACTTTTCTTCCTAGAACATAATACTTATTCTTCACTTAAACATGATACATTAGATTAATAAATATTATATTTATCTAGTTCATATCTATTTGCATGGATTTGTCATCAAAAATTGATGATCAAACTTTATTACTATTGATTTTCTCTTCCTTTTGTTTAATTATAATATATTATTATTGTATAAAAATATCGACAGGCTTGGACAGGCAGGCCAGGCTGAAGTGAGCGTATGGCAGGTGTAGGCAGGTTGGATGGATCTAAAGCCTGTGGTAGGACGACCAGGCCCACCAAAACTAGACCTGTTTGGATCTCTGCTTCCTATTGATTACATTTGAAAAGTTTTAGTTGTGGTTATTTATTATGATTCTGAAATTATTGCTTTCACCATTACGTTACCAGATGTGGTCAAGAGATTATTCTCTTCACACTCTTTCTTGCGCTAAATCCTAAACTCCGCACGTTATTCAATGGGAGGAAGTATATTATTTCCTTTATATTGACCTTAAGGTATATGAATGTGAGACTGTTTGGCTCGCCCTAACTATCTCGACTAGTTGAAAATTTTACTGAATCGATAAATACTCGAATTCATCTTCGGTCTTTACATCTGTTTACTGGAAAACAAAAAAAATAGCACCATACTTACTGTTTACTACTAAGTTATGAAATAATTTCCTTCTCTTCGTACGAGAGTGACGACAATTGTTTCTTAAAAAGAAAATGTAACAATAAGAGCAAAAAACTTTTTCCAACAAGGAGAATATAATTATGATGATGGACAAGTTTTTTC